TCAGCATTCATTGTTGGAGCTGAAATCTCTCCTATTTGACTTCAATGTGCTGGAATATTTTCAGGAATGCTAGACAAAATTACTTCAGTCCTTTTTTTCCAGTGAAAGAATTTAAAGGAAGAAAGGTTTTCCAGCTGCTGAAAAATGGAGACCACCTATCTTTGATCAGGTTTCTTTAGACTAACAGTGTTTTAGAAAGGAAGGTTGGGGGTGTAAAAGGCAAAACTATCAAACCTCAAGTTAAAGAAAGCTAACTCTTAAAATAACAATTTTTCTCCCCAATTGACCTTTATAATATACATAATAATTTTTACCAAACAGATTAATCATTTGAAGCTTATTCAACAAACACAGCATTACTTTTAAAACCTGAAAAAGGAATCATGGTCAGAAGACAGAGCCCTTGATTGCATTCAGAAAGCTGAATGGAATTCTCCATGCAGTCTCTGAGGCACTTTCAGATTTCATATAGACATCTTACAGCTTTGCTGAATGCTTTGATGTGATTCTCAAATTGCCCAAAATCACAGTCCTGAGCTGGATGCAGCCACGGTGGTGCAAAAGGTGAAAGAAGCAGCCTTGATTCTGCTCAGAAAATGGGGAAAATCAAACCAGTCTGCTGGCATGGCATGATCAGAACTGTTACAGCTCAGGTCGTGTCTTTTGGCCCTAAGCTGGTCTCAAGTCTTGGTTTATATGGCATTAAAATAAAAAAAATGGTATCAATATCAGTCAGTATAACATCTCTATTTTAGTATGTTGTTTTTATGTTTTATGTCACCTACACAATGGGGAAGAGGAAAAATGTGACAGGTTAATTGTGTAAAACTTCCTAAAAATTTTGATTCAGTTTAGAAATTTTATTTCAGTAGGCATTTGTAATATTTAATTTCTCTTATTATGTGTCTTTCCTCCAATGCACATTTTTTTCATCCCCCCCCCCAAACTTTTGATGAACACGATTCCAAAAATAACTCTCCAGCAATGATTTCTTTCAGGAGTGCTTCTGTTTTCAGCCTATAGAAATATAGAAATAATTTTATCTTCTTGTTCTTACGGCAGTGACAGATGATATTTTCTTTTTCTCTACATTTAGACACCTTATATTACCCAGCTCACTGAGGTAAAAAAGACCCTTCATAAACTGAAGCTAAAAAAGCCTTGATGTGGTCAGAAAAGACACTACATTATTTACTGTCATTTTCCCCTCATTTTTTGACATTACAACTGTAATCACTTTTATTTTTTGCATAAGGTTATTTCTGAAATCCAAAAGGAAAGAAAAATGGCCTCATTTGGTTGAGGCCAGGAGTGTTTTGAATGAATTTTTGTATTGAAAGTGTTGTGCTTGGATTGCTCCTGGTTAGAGCCAGCTGAGCTGTCTGTATAATAGATCAGAAGGGATAAAAAATGCACATTTTAAACCAAATCCTGCTATTGCTCAGGATGGGACTCACTCAGCAGAAGGATTTGAGGAATGGGAGCAGAGAGAGCTCATCAATATGGCAGTTCAAGGGATCTTTCTCTCAGGTTTTTTTTTTGGTGTGTGCACACACAGGTTATTTGTTTAAAATTCCTTGTATATATGCATTTGTTGTGTAGTGACTTTTGGATTTTTCAGTTTTCTGGCCGTTGTCCACTGTTGTTGTTTTGCTGTGGAAAGGACAGGCCTTGAGGTGAATGGGGCCTAGTCCTCACTGCTGTGAGGATGACAAGGGCACACAAACTACCCTACTATCCCCCCCACATCAGCCAGTTGGTTTTTATTGCCAAATCCCAGGGAAATGTGCTTTTCCTATAAAATAGTGTGTGTAAGACACTTAAATGTTTATTTTTTGGAAGGTTTCCCTCAGGGCCAGCCGCCATTTTCCCCCTGAGGTGAGGCCGCCATTTTACCCCTGAGGGGAGGCCGAGGGGTCACCAGGGCCCAGCGCTGGGTCCCCTCATGGCTCCCACGTCCCCTGCTGCTTGCCAGAACACTTTTGTCTGCTTGTACTGCAAATATTTTGGGAATTGAGCTTGATCCTTGCACCACCAGAGTCCTTGGCATCTGGGCTGCAGTTTTTCCCCACAGAGTTGTAGGAAAAGCAGGACAGCAAAGTTCCCGTGAGGGGGAATCTGTCGGGCTGCGTAAGGTGAGCTGGGGCTGTTCATACCCTTCCCCTGTCATGGTGTTTGAGAATATGTTACTTTCTGTTGTCATAGGACTTAAAATTTCAATCTTTATTTTAACCCCCTGAACGCACTTAGTCCTCTGAGGAGATTTGCATAAAAATAGCAATAAAACCCCAAAACAATATAGGTGTGACTTGTACACTCATAAGACCACTGGTAGATATGGAGGGATTTTCAACAAAATTGTCTTCAGCAAATCTAGAATTACTGTATAGAAAAGGCTGTGTGTTTCTGTGTATCCTGAAGTTATTGTTTATTATCCCCCAGATCACAATGTTTGTGGAATCCTTTAGCACAGCTGTGTGGGTTGTGCTGGTGAGCACTTTCAATATTAACTTTTTTGATAGGATTGTCCAGGGAAAAGCAGCACTTTGGTGAGGCATTTGGACCCTCAGCAGCCCCAGCAGAGTGTCCATGGAGGTTTTGTGTCCCTTCCTGGCACACTCCAGTTTGCTCCTGGGATTTGTGAATTCCTCAGGTGTCTGTCTGGTTTTGCTCTCCTGGGTGCCACAAAGCAGCTTTATTGGCTTCAGTGTGTGAGATCCTGTTACTGTTTAAGCTTGTCCTCCTTTGTGGCCAATGTTAGTGCTGCTTCTAGCCAGCTGCACAGCTTTCAACCTGAATGACCCTTCTTTTGTTTAAAAATAAAAATTAAAAATCAGAGGTGTGTTTTATCTTCCCCTCTACGCTTGGCAGAGAAAAAAATAATCAGTGTGGCCCTGATCATGATAGATCTCAAGGTATTGGCAATACTGCTTTCAACTCTGACCCTCTGAAATTCTTTCTTTCATGTTCTGGGTAAAGCCTTGTATTCTTCTACATGTTTGTGCCATAGAGATATTGATAAAATCCTGTTTTATTCCTTTACAGTGCTCCTGACTCAAGGTAGCCTTTATGTTCATTTCTGGGACTTGATTGATTTCTGAAGTTAAATGGCTTTGTTAATTAACCAACAATTTCAGCTTCTTTACCAAAACCAGGGAAATCTGCCTTTTTGCTGTTGGGAGATCTAAAATGAGAGTGACCCAATTGCTGTTTCCCTGAACTAATTTAGAAAGGGAACTAGAAATGCTGGGGGCACACTTGGGTTTATTGCAGTATTTTATGTATTCCATTAACTTCTTCAGTTGTCGTGGCAATGCAGAGGCACAAGGATAGCAAGCCTTGAATTAGTGTTCATGTTTCAAATATGACAAATAACATCTTTTAGAAGATAAGTACAGTTGATACTTAGCACAAGCCCAGCTCTGATATGCTTCAGGGATTCCTTTGAATTCCTGTTCCTGAAAATGAAAGAATCACTCTGTGTGGCAGATGCAGAGGGAATTTCCTGTGTGCAAAGAAAAGAAAAACAACCCACCTTAATTAATCTTTCTGCTGAAAAGAAATCTGCAGGGAGTCAGAGGAGCTTCTCTGCAGTTGCCAGCTGTGGAATTTGCATTTTGGGCGTTTATTCACAGAAATCATCAGGGTTTTGTGGCATTTTTGTGTGGTGTTTCCCCTGCTCTCCACCCATTTAATTAGCATCATATTTATGATCCTCAGTGGTTCTAAACTGGTGTGATTCCACCCTGAATGAAGTGTCACAGTGGCTTCCCACCTGTGTGGATGGAACAGAACATCAGCTGTTGGAGGGTTAGGGTCAGTCAGAAAAACAGTAAGTCAAGGATGGTCAAGGATGGCTGGTTACGCTTTCTGAAAATAGTTAGAAATATTTTTTTGTAATTTATTTCATTTTGAGGAGTGGGCATGCAAAAATAAAGTATCATAAAATCAGTTGAGGGAGATGTATGAGATACTGTCAGTAACATTTTTGCCTTCTTTTGTAAGAATTATTGAAAGTTACTCACCTGCTCTGTGTTGCAATTATTGGCGCAGGCTGGCGTTTAATGACAAACTGGCAAATTAAACTGGTTTTGCACATCCAGGGATTCTGTTAAAACCAAAAATGATGTGGAGACTGGGCATGATTCAGCTGTAAACCTCTTGCGTCCCTCCTTCCATTTCTCTGTGTTCCCTTTGCCTCCAGCCATACAACTGCAGCTCCTTCTCTTGTGTCTGCTCCACATGTGAATTATCAGAGCTTGTCTGAATGTGCCACTTCACCTCCTTTCCCTCAAATCCCCTGGTACATCAGTAACATATGGGCAACATTTTGGGTACAGCTCACATGCAGAGTTTAGATCCAAGTGTGATACTGAGCTTGGTTTGAGCACAGCTGCCTGATTTCCTCTCAGAATTCCCATTCAGAAATCCCTGTCAGTACAGTGCACATGAGGACATCACAAACCTGTTTTTTCACCCCTGATAAAGTGCTGGGTGTTGTCCATTTTATCCATAAGCAACATTAGCTGCACCAAGTTCCTGGTGTGGAACTGATGCTAGGAAGGTGTGATACCATGACATTGGTGGCACTCAGTGAATTCCTCCTGTCCCCTCCTTGTTCTTTTGGTCCCTTCCTAATTTTATTTCCCAGCTACAAATATTTTTTCCAAATTATTTAAATAAAGCTAAATGGACATCTTTCCAGTTCATAGTTATTGTTAACTAATGGTAGCAAAAAGAGGCAAGATTAGCTGGTGTATGGCAGATGGGGATTGTTTCAAATTTGCTAACCTGGTAGAGATACAAATAGAATTCAGGCTGCCTAAGATCAACAGAAAAACACTTATTAATCTTAAAACAACGTTTGACCCAAATTTATTGGATAATTTTTTCAAGCTCATGGAAGTAAATGAGATTTTGGGATCAGCCTGTACTTGTGATTATTTAATTTCACAGGAAATAAAAGACTTCTGAAATGTTTGTTGTTTTTTTCTTTGTAGTGAAACAATAAATGTTAACTCAAAGAATGTGAATTATTTGGAATTTCCTGTGGAAAAGCTTCAGACATCTAACCTCAAGCCAGAAGAAAATGCATCGTGTGTTAATCAGGCAGAACAAGGAATAGGAAAACAGGAGCCTGGATGCAAACATTTCACAAACCTCAGTGGTGTGGTAAGTGAACTTTGCATCTATTTGTAGCTAATTAACTTGCTTCTGCATTAGTGTAAATTGTGTTATTGTGGCACTGTGACACCAGGGTCTCAAGGTGCTCCCAGGGAGCACACAAGGAGAGGAGGCTGGAAAATCAAGGAGAACAAAAGCCCTGGCTTTTCTCCAGCCTGGCTGGAGAGCAGCAGTGCCAGTGATGAGTCCCTCATCATACGAGGGATGTGCCAGTGCTGGCCCCTCTCCATGGCACTGCTGGCTCCTCCAAATGACAGTGTTGGTCCCTCCCCAGCCTCTCCATCTGCCCCTGGTGCTGGAGGTGTTTGCACTCAGCAGCTGCAGGAGCTTTGCAAGGGGTTCTCATGGACAAGGTGGGCTTGGGAGGGAAACCCAATGCACTGCTCCTTGTGGCCATGAACCTTGCTCTATCCCCAGGAAAATAAAAATGTAATGAGAAGGAGGGGGAGCATTCCCAAAGGGCTTTGTGGATCAATGTAATGTTGAGCTCAAGGAAACGAGAGGTTAGCTGATGTTCCCAGAGGTACAAATGGTGTAAACTGATGTGTAAAGAAAGAATTTGCTCTGCAAGGAACACTCTTATAGTGTTCCACACACTACCACACATTCACAGCTGCATTTGCAGTTAAGTTGCAGATCAGGTCAAGTGTGTTTTGCTCCATGGTTTTCGTTTTCCAAAGGTCTGGGACGCAAAGCTGACAAAGGACAAGTTTATGCTTTTCCCCCTCAGTGTTTTGGGTGCTGTTGTATTTTATCACCGAGGGGCAGTTTACAGAAGTGTTACTTGAAGTGTTGCACGGACATTTAGAGGCCAGCACCAGTGACACAGCATTAAGAGGGGTGATAAAAGAGAGTTTTCAGCCTGTGCCCTTTCTGAATGTGGTCAGGTAAGTAGAAGGTAATACAGTTAAAATGTTGGTGTCATGCCTAAACTTCTGGCCTGTCTTATTACAAGTGCCTGATGTCAAAGATCAAGCAAAAACAGCAGAGATCCTGCAGGTCAGGATGAACCTCACTGGGAGGAAGCTCTGTTCATCCTGAAACATGGCAGCCAACAGTGATGGGCACACTCACTGCAAAAAGGGAAATAAAGTTGGCTCAAAGTGACCCACAACCTTCTGTAAAAAAACAAAAACAAAAAAAAAAAAACCAAAAAAAAAAAAACCAAAAACAGGAAAAATAAGTCCAAACCATCCAAAACACAAGTGATGATGATTAAGAAAGTGCCTTCAGTCTACTGTTAAAATTACTTTCTATTGTGCAACTGTAATAAAGTTCCAAGTGTCAAATTAGCATTTCTGTTTTATTTCCAACTCCAGTTCTTGTATTTTACATTATAACTGCATGAAAGTGCTATTAAGAAAAGCAGAGCCCAGATGTTGCTGCTGATTGTATCGTGTATTGTTGTGCAGAAGGAAAATAATACCTGATTTATGATAGAAAGCACTGTGGAGATAAATGCAAGTACCAGAGCTGGGTTTAAATGTTGTTGCTACAAGTGAGGTGCATTTTCCCTTTCCCTTTCCCCTCTGTTAGGGATTTAGGGAATATCTAAACCCCCTGTAAGGCTTCTAGAGCAATATTCTGCAGTCCCTGTACAACCCAACTTTCCTCAAGTCTGAGAGAGATTTAGAGTTATGCGACTTTTGTCACTCAGAGCATCATAAAATCTGTTTCCCAGCAAGAAAACAAAGACTGCTGCATCTCAAAGAAAAGCACAGTTCCAGGTAAATGCTCAGATGCTGTGATTTCCCAGAGCTGCCTCTCTATTTTGGGCCATGTTGCCTCTTAGAATCACACAATACTTTGGCTTTTAGAGATTTCTAGAGGTCTCTAGTCCAAGTCCGTGCCTAAATCAGTGCCAGCTTTCAGTTCAGGCACTTTGCTCGGGGTCTTGTCCAGCAGAATTTAAGGAGATGCCATGGCTTATCTGAGCCCCTGTCTGTGTTTCACCTCCCTTATCTCTCCCATCAGAATTTCCTGTACCCAACCTTGCCTTTAACTTGCAGATAAACACTATCTTGCCTGTACAGGCAAGAGGAAAGATTATCCTTCCCCCTCTCTGGTGACTCACTGGTGTAGTTCAGCCCCAGATCCCGTACACTCATCTCTATTTATACATTAACTGACGTGTATGATGCAAATGGGATAAATATAGGTAATTTCTGCCTCTTGAACGAGACCAGATATGATGGCAATCAACCTGGAGTGTCTGCTTTCCATTTTGTTTGTCCTAGGCACAGCCTAACAGCCTCTTCTGAGTGCCTCACAATGCTTTTAATCATAATGCACTTTCAGACAGTTTAAAAAGTGGCCCTGCTGGGAGAATCACTATTTGCTGTTAATATAAAGCATCTCTAAAGGCAGCTTGCCATTACTGTGTGCTTATCGCAGGTAAGCTCCTGTTTTGTGCCAGGGTAGCCTCCAGCACAGCTGAGGTTTCCCATGTGTATAAATACCTGCCTCATTCTGCTGCCCCCAGCACTGCTAATTAGAGTCATTAATTCTGCTTGGCTGAAGGGATGCACTGGAGGCTCTGAAGCTCGTGCTACAACCACTTCTCTGATGGCCCCTTAGGAAAAACAATCTTCTTTTAAAAGGCTCAAATCCTTTTTCTTCATTTTTGCATGTTGGAAGTGACATTCCAAAGACAGATTAGTGTGTGCTGTGTGGAGGCTGCTGCTGTGAGGCCACGTGTGCCCTGCTCTGTGTGCCCATGAGAGCAGGGTCCCTTGGGCTTGTGAGTCACTGCCTGTAGCTGATGCCCACGTGCATATTCAGAACAGATTATGGCACAGGGAAGGATGGCACTGGTGTGACTCCAGCAGCAATTGCCATTAAATTGGTGCTGCTGACACATTGCTCTGAGTGACTTTGGCTGTTTGTAGCCATGATATTTTCTGGAAATTCCTTTCCTTAAGATTTTTTCTCCTGAGAAGCTGGGAGGCCTCAGGAACAAAATGCTAACAATGATTATCTGCTGCTGTGGGATGCAACAGGTGGGTCTGTCATTGGTCTCATGTGGTTGTTTCTCATTAATGGCCAATCACAGTCCAGCTGTCTGAACTGTCTCAGTCAGTCACAAGCCTTTGTTATCATTCCTTTTCTATTCTTAGCCAGCCTTCTGATTAACTCTTTTCTTCTGTTCTTTTAGTATAGTTTAATATAATATATATCATAAAATAATAAATCAAGCCTTCTGAAACATGGAGTCAGATCCTCATCTCTTCCCTCATTCTCAGACCCCTGCAACACCACCACAGCTGTTGGATTGCAGATCACCCCAACAGGGGAACCAGGATTGTTGAACTTTGTTAAACACAGCCAAGTGTTGTGATTAGGTTTAATATAAAATGACACCTTCTGCTGAGTTCATAGGTTCATGTGTGGGTCAGTTCCTTCTCTTCTCCCATTATTCCAGTTACCTGAAGATAATTCAGAGTTTTACACAGCCCAGGATTTTGCACAATGCAGGTGCATGGGCTGTACTGTGAAATACATGGCTGTGCAGGCACTTGGAGATTTATTGGAGCTTGCAGCTTGTCCCAATAGACTTGGCTTAAAAATGCATCTAAAAGATAAAAAAGAGAAGATTTTTCCCATTCCACGAACCACATGAGACTTGGGTTTGTTCTGTTTTGCTTTAGGTAAAAAATTGCATTTACTTTGGATTTTTTCCTAGAAAAAAAAACTAAGGAAAGGGCCTGCACTAAGCAATAGTGTTGTGGTGAGAGAGGGAAGATTTTAACTTCAAGTCTCTGATGTAATAGCTTAAATCTGGGTTTGAGGTGATTCTCACTTTAATGATTAATGGTCACTTGGCTACTTTGGGCTGTAAATATTTTTCTTTTCATCTTCAAATTTCATTTGATACCTAAGGGCCTAATTAAAAAAGCAGCAATAGGCTGGTAGGAAAAGCTCCGGATTTAAGTAACTCCTGCTTTTATTTTTTTCTTTTGACATAAATCACACATGAATTGGTGGGGGAAAAAACCCTAATGCATATGATGGCTCACTGGGCAAAATCAGGGCTACAAGTCCCACGCTGACTTCCAGGAGAAGGTGTATCCAAGAAAGTAAAAATAGCATTTAAATTGCTATGAAAAGTCAATTTTCTCTATGGCAAAATTGTTAAGTGCTTTTTTGTTTTACAGAATCTATGAATATTTTGATTTTTTTCATGTTGATTTGGAATGCAAATAGATACTGAGTTATCAGAATTTGCCAGTGGGCAAAAAAAAATCTGACTTTCAATCAATTTTGCTAAGTACCCAGCAATGAAAGGTTTCTTAGCAGCTGTGCTCAATATTTTTCATTGTACATGTACAAGGAAACATGATCCTGAATCTTGGAGATCAGCAAGTAATTAGTTTGGGTTTTATCCCAGTGAAAACTTCAGAAGTCCAAAATGCTACAGAGCATAGATTTGGCTTTTAATGGGAAAAAAAAATAGAAAATTTAAAAACAGCAAACTTTTTATTATGTTTACCATGAGTGTCTTGATTTTTCTTGGTGAAAATTAACCTTTTTTCTTTTTTCCTTTCAAAAAGAGAAAATCTCACTGAGAATCAGCTTTACAAATTCCTGTTTGGGTGGTGCAGGGGGTGCTGCTCCTCCAGCTGAGCAGTACTTGTGTATTTAAAGTGGAACCTTTTGCTCCCCCATGGGCTCTGGTTCTGCTCAGTGCCTGGGTTTTATAGGAGTCATTCTGTGCCTAAAACTCAGTGCTTTATTTCTGTGGGATTTTTGTGAAGAACTGTGACATTTTGGGCAGAAAATGGAGCTGGAGTTTGGATGTCTGCAGTTACCAAGCACTACAGTAGGCCGTGGCTTTTCTCCCTGGCTGAGCTGCCAGGATCCAGTTCTGGAGAAAAATCCAGAGAGGATGTGCCAGGTGTGCAGTGAAGTGGGACAGGGAAGAGCTTCCACAAAGAAATGCAGCAAGTCCTAAAGAAACAAATGCACTTTTTCGCCAGCAAGAGGTGGCA